TAAGATTGTAAAGAATAGAAAGCTTTTTCTCCTTCAAAATTTTGCAAGCTCTTCCTAAATACTACGTTTACCTGGATTGCAATCCCCTATTGGGTCGGACCCTTAGGGGGCCACTCTTATTTTTTTTGGGTTTTTCCCCCCGGCCCCGTTCCCACCCCCAAAAGGGTTTTCCCAAGGGGGAAACCCCCCAAAAAAGGAAAAAGGTTTTTTTTTTTCTGCCCTTTTTTCAAAAATAAAAGGGGGCTCCGGTTCCCGGTAAAAATTTAACACCCCCCGGGGGGGGGGGGGGGGGGGGTGGGGCGCGGGGTTGGCGAGAGAGAGGTGGCATACGTTTTGTCTGTTTGACGCTGTTCCTTCTCTTCTATCTCCTGTATGTACTTGACCTGATTTTTGACTTCCACAATATGAATCTATGGAGAACGTATTAAATAAAGCTGCGGTTACGGCAACAGACAGCGCAGATTGCTTGTGCCAGCACTTGAATCTCCATGGTATTTTCATATGAAATTTTATCAAGTCGTTCAGTGGTGCGGGGTACATGCATCGCACAACACATTATTATAAATTCAATAGAACTATGAGGTAACTAGATTTGGCAGTGCAGAGATATATATATATTACATTAATCTGATTCGTACATTTCGAAATATATATATTTTTGCATTATTCTATATATTATGAATGCCGTTGTCTGCTCTCTCCATATTTAATCCAACCCCCTTCTGTAGCTTAATCCTGATTAAATTTCCTGATCAACCAGTGAGTGCGGATATCCCCACCAAACCTTCTGTTCTCCAGATTTCCGGCTGTCCACCGCAACACAACACATCTCACGCCATCTTCTTCACGCCACATCAACCCTCTCATATATCCACCTGCACACCCATAGCCTTACCATCATTGGGCGAAACAGAAGCAAATCCCCCAGCGCCCCAGTCAAACACAGTCCTATCTCATGACAGTCTGTCGTCATTGTATCCCGCGCCCTCAACTCCTTTTAAACCCCCCCCATCTAGAGCAAATTCAGAAACACAACCCCCGCTATAACTCATTCACCCCAAACCG